AATTTTAACAGGATTTCAGCAGCATCAACAATTGAAATGTAGTAGGATTTTGCTAAGAGACAGATAGTAAGGTAGTTCAGTTTGTGAGTCAAAGGAGGAGAAGAGAGTTGGGGAGTTGAGTTAAGGAGTCTTGAGGAAAGAGGTTGAGTTGGGGAGACAAAGTTGAGAAGTCTAGAGTTAAAGAGGAGATTTAGAATTTAAGTGAGAATTAGGAAGTTAGTAACAATAGTAGTTTTAGCTGCGGTTTGTAAATCTGTGTAGTTTTATAGTTTAACGTTGGAGATAAGTTTGGAGTGGAGAGATTGAGCTAGCTAGTTCACGATAGTGAAGACTTGTATATTTTATGACGGATTAAAAAACTTGCGTTGTAAATATATCTACTTATATATGGGGCAAAGAAGTAATTCCAACAGTGTGGACAAGTTTAGGTTGTCAAATTTTCGGAGCGATCCACTCCTTTATCAAGACACAGTGAAACAGAACAGTTACATGTACATATACATCATATTACAAGAAGATAGAACTGATATACTATAATTTGAAAATATAGCTATTATATAAAACCAATAGTTCCCTCGGGTACAGCCGAAGGCAGCAATTAAGCTGAGAGCATCGCGGACAAGGAACGCTGATGTAAAGGACCTATTCTACGGACGTATCCTGCGGACATACCTCCATTAGGATCCAGTGTTATATGGGATTTTCCTGTCTATATTACTTCTTTGACCCATACTTGTAAATATAAATGTACTTATTTTGTTGTTTAATTAATTTGAACTCACAGGTGGCAGTGGAAATTGAGAACAGAAAGCATCAGTAATAAAAAAAGAGAATGTAACACTAGTGACCATCAGTGGAGTTTGGATTACTGAAATCTAGTGTCAAGTACTGACAAGTAGTAGGCGCTACAGTAAATACATATTCTAATTTTTAACATTCACGTAGGTAATCAGGAGATTTTCTTCACCAGAAAAAAAATGTTTTCCTACCTTTTTTTTTTTAGCCGAAACAGAGAACGCACACATATTTTTATTTGGCCTAAAATAAATTATATATGAAAATAATTTTACCAATGCCATTATTATGGACTAGTTTATTGCTGATTTATTGAACGTTGATAAAATTATCTATCTATATGTTATACTCCACAGAGACCAAAATGGCTTTAATGCGGAGGGGAACGATTTCCCAAGGCTAACGTTAAGTGCTTAAACATCAAAGTGTCTCCTAGATATGACATCTATATTTTACCTGTATTACAGTCTTGAAAGGATTCTGTTCTGTACCATCTCCACTTTCGTCTGATCCACGCTTTTCAGATGTGTACAACTCGCCTGCATTTAGAAAATGAAAATTGAATTATTCTTTAAGCCACATAAATAACAGACATACACGAATAAATGTATTTCGATACGTACATTACACGAGACGGCAGCAATGTCCCATGTGCATTGCCAAATGTGACAGTACCGTTATGCACGTGTCACTTGGTATGGGCCTACCGACTATATTCCCCCTTACCTAAACTCACGCCTTCCATTTTTGCCGCTACTTCTTCAGCCATCGTATGAAATAACCACTTGTATTAGTTAAACTCTTCTGACTTGCTTTCTAAAGGCTACAGATCACAATATTGCATCATCATATGGTAGGCTATCCCGCATGCAAACGTGCCTGGAATATTCTCGGAAAATGCCGGTCAAGACTTATGTCGTAAAAATACATTCTCTTATTTAAGAGTCTTTAACACTAGAAAATCATTAACTTATATAAAGATTTAATTTGGATATTGTGTCGTTAATGACTTAAATTTATAATTTTTGTAAGATTATTTCGTTTCAGTTTACTTTAGCGACAACATTTGACCTAATTACGGCCCCTGCGTGCGAAGAAATTTTGCATAGCAAAAAAGGTCGCATTTCCTAAATACTGGCTCACTTATTGGCTAGAAATACAATTTGCGAACGCAATAGTCATTCCAGGGAGATTTTAAACCGCCAAGATGTTATATTGATTGTTGCTGTGAATCGCAATACGACATTTTTCTCACTAAACGTTGTCAACATGGCGGTCCATTTAAACGTTTAGAGTTATTGCCCTTGATCCCATCGGAGAATGGGAATGGAGTTCAATGCACAGTGTTAGTTGAAACAAAATGATTTCATTACCCGGAGAGGATTTTATTCGCATGAAGATATGGAACAATCGACTAAGTTGACGCAATCCAGACTTGTAGCCGCAACTGTCTTAGAACCAAAGGATGAATTGAGCGAGGTGAAAAACAATTAGATTTAGTAGATTTAGTTTCTGAAAGTTTTTTTTTTTTTACTGCAGATCAAGCAATTGAATAGAATCTGGTTTATTTATATTGCTTGCTGGAATTTTGCAACCTAGCACATTACGATTTGTTAGTGATCGGGAATGATCAGATGGCAACGTTATTACATATGGTAAAATAAATTTCGTATTTAAATCTTAATATATCATTTCCTTATTGTCAACATTTAGTAAATATGCCTCCGTTGGTTTATGAACATATGTATTTATTGCCTCAGATGTGGACACTGGGTTTTTGATGTCCTTTTTCTGCTGGACAATTTTTGTTTCTCGTAAACTTGCGAAGTTGTTGTTACACACTTCAATCAATCTTTAATTATAAATTAAAACTGCGCTATTATTTTCCTTTGAGTTATAGATTAAAAGGTACTTTATTATGTTAGCGACATATTTTTTTTGCATTTTTGCATAGTAGATTCACAAATAATTGTCATGATTGAATTTTTGCTTTAGTTGCAATTGTCATGGATACACTTTAATTTGACTGCCTATAGTATATAAAAATGATAACTCAACTGATATGGTAATAGCATGGTAAAGGAACCATATCAATGCATACATATGATAAGTCATCATGCCTCATGTCATTGAGGTATGGAAATGTCACAACATGGTAGAGTTTTACAACAACAAAGTCCTAGAAATGTGTCTATTTATATTTTAAATGTACATGTATGTGTCACCCTGGTAAAAGACTAGCCGCTTCCCACTGACTTGGCTAGGAAGAATATCTTAGACTAGTAATTAAGCCAGACCGGTCCAGGGTTCGACACCTAGCGGAGGCATTGAAAAAATAATGTCAATGACCTCTGTTATAAATGTGCATGTTTTTATTTCAAATCAAGAATTATTTCATGGTCAATACTTTAATAATTGATGACATGTATTTTTCAGAGATTTGAACAGTGCTACAATGTCGTTCACAATATTCGAAATGGAATGTCCGACAGAGAGGCAAACGATGCACTCAATTCGTATGTAAGTAACAAAAAATCGCCCAATTTCATAATTGCAAAAATAATAATATACAGTTAGTCTTAGCCAGATTAATGAAAAAACTCCTAGTGAGAAACATATTAGCATGGATTTCAGTAGAACCTTGAGAATATGTACAGTATCAACCTACCCAAAATGAGCCCTGACTCTTGGGTTTTAAAGGACACTCTGTTTGACATACCTTTTGACTCTTCAAAATTCTTGGAAAATTCCATATTACTTGAATATTCATGTGAAATAGATAAATATCAAGGGTCAAATAAAATCCCGATAAATAAGTCATTTATTAATTTATACATTAAAAGTTTGTATATTGATCATGCAAAAGGTATATTGGTAAAATAATTAAGTTGATTTTCAATAATCTTTAAATCCAATAATTGCTTTTGGTTGATTTCACAGGTATCGAAAGGCTCACCGCAGCATGAGGAAGTACAACTGGGTTTGTTGTATGCAATCCTTACTGATCCAACAGCAGCTGTCAAGGTGACGGTTAAAATAAAACTAGTTGTTATTTGGTACCCGCGAGATTGTCATGTAACCGGTGTTTTTCCTCCCCTTGAGATTTATTTGGGGTCGGTAATATACCCCATATCCCCAATGGCATTTTGGAATGCTTTTCCCATTTTATGAAGAAATCCAACCCTGCATGAGTTCATTCTCAACATAATTTTAATTAGAAATGCATGTAGTAGATAATTGATGTCAACTTTCCAAAAACTAGAAACAAAAAATCAACATTCCTACAGAAGGTTTTATGATTAGTTTATTTAAATGACAAATTTTGTATCTTACAAACCTTGATAGTTTTATCACAGAATTTTCAACATGCATTTTGTTCATGCTAGATATGTGTTTGAGTTAGAGTGTTATATTGTCTTTTCTTCCGAGGGATTTAAACAGTACACAATGTACTTCAACTTTAAGACAACACAGATATTTTCATGGAATGATTCACCAGTATTTGATGCAATGCAGGAAAAATAAAAAATGTTTAAAAATTGTCTGTGGATGAAATTGTTGCCCTTTTCACTTTCCAGAGTTATCGGGACATGACTTTGATCAGTCGAGATGCTATGTCCCTTGTCCTCAGACATACAAATCAGATAATATTTGAGAAATGGTTGAAGCTCCTGGACAACACTCGTGTTCAGGTGAGTAGTACGGATCCTTGTATTGGTGTCTCTAAATAGTTTTTGTGTCGCCTGCGAAAAGCTGGTGACACATAGGTATTGCTATGTCCGTTTTTTGGCCAGCGGCCGCACAGAGGTTTTTTGTGCGATAACTTGAGTTTCCTTGAGCCGATCAAACTCAAACTTAATGCAGTGCTTCCTTACCAAAAGTGCTTGCTTGGGCTAGCTTTTCAGGTCCGAAGGTCAAAGGTGAAGGTCACTGTTACTATAAATAGAAAATCTGTTTTTGAGCGATAACTTGAGTTTCCTTGTGCCGATCAAACTCAAACTTAATGCAGTGCTTCCTTACCAAAAGTGCTTGCTTGGGCTAGCTTTTCAGGTCCGAAGGTCAAAGGTGAAGGTCACTGTTACTATAAATAGAAAATCTGTTTTCCTGCGATCACTTGAGTTTCCTTGGGCCGATCAAACTCAAACAGTGCTAAGCACAATCTCCCAGCTTCCTGTGCAGGTGACACATCCACTTCCGTGGAATTCTTGTCTTATCTATAAACAAATCTTTGATTAAATGTAAACAATATTTAGTTTACATTCAGCATTTGTAAATCCATCTAAATTGATTTATTAAAAAAATCATTTGAACATTTTGTGATATTTATAAAAAAACATTTCATAACATTTTGATAACTTCATAAAATTGTTCTTGATTCACAAGTTTAAGTTACCTCAGGATGTGAGAGCTTGCTTCTAAAATTTATTATTCTAATTCATTTGAGATGTAAAAAAGTCATTTGATTAGTCAATCGAAATAATTTGCAACCAGGATATATCGTCCGCAAATTTCTCATTTGCATAAGAGGCCCGGATGGCAATTGTTAATGACACCATTGACCCGGACTGACCTCGACACATCATAAAATTGATTATTACTGATGTCCCAAACAATAGAATGACCCGGAAAGGTCAAAATAATTCCTCCTCACTTTGAATTTTCCTGACGTCCCCAATTCATGGTAGATAGACACTAGTGGGGATAATCCTGTTTCTTTCGGTGATTTTAGCTAATATAAATTAAAATGGGGATGATCCTGCTGTATTTTCGAGATTCGGGATGCACCACTAGTAAAACTCAATTTGCGACGACATAATCATGATATACCGTCGCAAATATAAAATACAGTAAGGTTATCCTCAAATTGAACGTCTGTTAAATGACAAGAATATATGGGAGATGTTGATGTTTTTTCTTGCAACAGATTTATTATCTCATTTCAACACTTTGGCCTAGTTGGACTTTGTCTATCATTGTTATAATGATCGGAATGTTTCAGGTGATCTGGCTGTTGAGAGCACTGGTAAAAAGTTCAGTGAATGGAACAGAAAGTGTTTGTTTGAGTCTTCTCCGACAAATAGCTGGTGAGTACTGATACGCAAGAGGTATGGAACTCTAAGGGGTTTTTGAAAGATTTTAGTTGCAGGAAAACATACATAGTACAATGTTATTTTTATAATTAAATTTTACTTTTATAGGGGAAAATGTGACAATTTGTAGCAACTTAAAATAAAATTTAAGCATCTCCATAGTAGCATGATTGTTAGAAATCTTGAAAAAAACATATTGACATATTCAATTAAAACAACCTATATTATTATTTTTATGCATGTTTGCAGGTGGAGATGTTTCTCAGAAGAATATCTGGCTTACAGAGAATATGCTTGATGTATTTTCAGAAAATAGGTATGTAATCAAAATTTAAGGTACTGTACATGTGGGAATTTAACTTTTCTTCTTACTGTAATTTCATGTTAGCAATCTGTAGCAGCTTGTTTTAATCAGGAAAATGATGATAATTCATCTCAGGGCTAAAAATATCCCATGTACAATGACCACAGGCCATTGGATTTGGTCTGTGGAAATTTGTAATGGACCGGTGCAAAATGGTCTAATGAATATTTCATTATTCACAGCTAACTGTGTTACTACTCATCAAATAAACAAATTGTCAAGAAAAAATAGTTAGTTTCTGTTAAAAGCGACTAAAAGAATAAACACTACTTTCCTGAAAGGTACTTTCATACTTATAATAATAATTCTAAGACAAATGTCTTAACTTTGGGCATTCAAGACCTTTTTCATATGCACTTCTCGGATGAGCTGGTACTTTTGAAAATGTTTTTGCTCTGTATCTGATGCTTAATCTCTCCTCTGACATAGTTGTGTATATTCCACATGTTATGATCAACCAGGTAATGATACCCAGCACAACTGCTGTAAACAACAATGATCTTGTCAGTTTATTATAGTTAGAAAATTGAAATGTATTTTGAATTTCTATTGGATGGAGGAATGCAATAGAGGACATACAAACAGGAATATTGTCTGAAGTTGAAATGACTTTTTGTTACCAGGACATGGCTAGACAAGATCCCGTCTTTGATAGCTACCGTTGTGTACACATATCTGCGAGTTATTGAGGACCACAACGGACCAGTGTTTGTCAATTTAAGACAGCGGGAAGTGGAACTCTGTATTGGTCTCATCCGAGAAAAGGTAAAACATCTATTGAAAAATAAGATAATGATGGTAAAAGGTGAAATATAATGAGAAATAAGATACTGATGGTAAAAGGTAAAATATAATGAGAAATAAGATAATGATGGTAAAAGGTTAAACATGTATTGAAAAATAAGATAAAGATGGTAAAAGGTAAAATATAATGAGAAATAAGAAAATAATAGTTTATGTTTAATCTGTACTAGTTGTAGTTATGTAAGCTTCCTTTATGAAACCTTGACATATGATTTGTTGTCTATACAGTGTCATGTTTTCTTTTAAACAATTTCTTCTAGAGAACCCTAAGGTCTAAAATCATACTGTTTTGCTTGTTTCTTGTTTAATGAAGGACTATTACATTGTTTGAAAAACAAGTTACAAAAAATATTAACTGATTTCAAGATTACAGGGGTCAAAATTAAAATGACCTTTGACAGAACTATGAGGTCATGCTATTTGGCATGTGGCTTAATGGAAAGAATTGCTATCAGATACATTTAAATAAATTACCCACTTTCATGAACACAGGGGTCAGATTTTTGTGAACTGTTCAAAAGCCTTGACCTTTAGTACTATGAATCTGAAGCCATGATATTTTTCTGTAACTTGCTGGTGAAGAGAACTATTCACTGTGATCTGTAAATTACCTTTACCCTCTTTCAATGTCACAAGGATGAAATTCAAACATTTTTTTGTTAGGAATTAGTTCTGGAGCTTATTGTTCAAATAAATGCTCTTGACCAAATATCACAGAGGTTAAATGTGTTCAAAACTAAAGACATGGCGTTTGTGCTATAGCTTATTGGGGCTATCAGATTTGTTCAAATAAATGACCTTGACCTATTTTTCAAGTCACAACTAAATTTTGAAGAAACACAATTTGAAATAGCTTCTACAGAACCATAAGAAATTGACTCCTGATGCTTTGCATATAGCCTGGCTAGCTGGGTTGAAGAGTCAATTTGGGTAAATGAATAACCTTGACCAACTCTCAAGGTCACAGGTGTGCATGTCAGTATATTAAAAAAAAAATAAGGATTAAGGCCCTTGGGCTTCTTCTTGCAGGACTTCTTTTCGATGAATCATAATAAACATTTTCTTAAGTCCTGTGTAATAACATGATAGCTCTAGAAGAATTTCATAGGCCTAGTCTCAGTTAAGGAAGATTGCTGTATTGACTAATGGTACACCAGTCGATACATGTAGATATGTATGTAGTAAAGTCCAGAACCTCCGATGTGATACTGATATTAATTGATGTTATCAGTGGACAGACTGTATCCACATTGGACGAGACCTTGTTAGACTACTACAAAATGTCGCCAGGATCTCAGATTTTGAGAAGCTATGGAAAGACATGGTACAAAACCCTACAGCAATTCATGCACAGTTCACAGGTATGTCCATTAATTAATATCAACTTATCTTATGTAAAAGTTTATTTTTTTGGACTAATTCAGGGTAATTTTGTTCAAGTTTTAACGATGTATGACAAGAAGGAGAAGAATTAAGATATTTCAGTGGTTATTGTATAATTGGAAACATTTCAGTGGTAACCCATAAATTTATATCTGAAACAAACACCTGAGTGAACAAGAAATTAAAGAATGTACACCACATGTGAAGCAGTGAATATACTACTGGTATTAAAATCGTTCTGATCAGGAGGTTGTTTCATTTTCCAGGTGTTCAACAGCTGATGTTAATGCGCACGTCGCGGAAGTTTTTAATTAGTAGATTAACACCTGATATGGAAACAAAACTTGTGTTTCTGGTTACCAAGGTAGGTGATCATACGTATTAGAATCATGTGATTTGTGTGCTGTCATGATCAGAGACCACCATATTACTCTGTACACTTAGTGGCAGGAATCTTAATGACCTTCATATCACATGTGTCGCAAAATAAACTGGCAATCTGGAATAGGCCTAACAGGTTAGTGACACCCCCCTGAAAAAATTCCTGATCCACCCTAGACTCTATACACTTAGTGGCAGGAATCTTAATCACCTTCAGATCTCTGTTTTCAAAATTTAATGTAATACATGTCCCTTTTGTGGTACTTTAGCAATGTTTTCAATTTAAGACTCCTTGTTTGTAAGATTTCTACAGAATCATGAGTCTTTATGCAAATATTTAACCAGGTTTTTTTAGTTCAGAGTTTAAAGGAATTGGTATTGAACTAAAACCTTCTATTTCAGGTTAAATTTGGGCAGCATAAAAGATGTCAAGATTGGTTCCAAAGACAGGTATGTGTAATCATTGTTTCAAATGTTGAGGATTTGCATACAGAATGAATTGTATGTTTTTCTTTGTCCTGCAGATATAAAGTTTGCAGTGCCAATTAAAACAAATAAATTCTGTATTGGAAAATATACGCTCATTACTTATGTTTACATTCTTTAAGTTTTGAACCTGTATTTAAATTATAAAAGGCCACCACTAACCTAGGTGGTTTTTTTCTAACATACGACATCTAACCAAAGCAATTCCTGGCAACATGCATGTTTTTTCTAAGACAAGCTGTATCTAGTGACATATGACCTGAAGCTGAAGTGACTGTAGTTATTTAAACAGAGTAACCCTCGTTTTAAATTGCCAGCCCCAAAACAGAGTAAGCCAAATATATATTTCTATTCAAGGAAATGAATATTTCCAACTAAACATTTATGTTGTCACAATGTAAATGATATCACAATCACCAGAAGCTAAACGACATTATGCTCATAGTGTTATGTATGCAATAGGGTGTTGGTAACATCATGAAAGGCAAATGATTAGTGAATCTATACTTTAGCATGTTAATTATAAGTGCAATTTCACTGAAATATCCACCCTGGAGGGACTCCAAGATAAAGAAATCATGTATGGAAGGGGTTGAAGAATGTTGAAGTATATCATGAGGCAGGGTAGTCTAGTGGTAGGATGCCGGGTTCGTGACCGAAGGGTTGCGGGTTCGAGTCACAGTATGGCACTGTGTTGTATCTTTGTGCAAGATACTTTATTTTGCTTGTTCCAGTCTACCCAGCTGTAAATGAGTATGTGGTTGGGCAGTGCTAGAATTGTAGAATGCTAGCTGTGAGTGCCGAAATGGCAGCACCGACTGTATGCTCCTCAGGGAGTTGAGAAAGATCTTGGCTGGTTGTAAAGGCCCTGTTACCACGGATTATAATTTGTGAACCGCCTTTTACGAACTAGCTTGTGATAAAGCTGTATATAAGAACCTCAAATTATTATTATTATACATGTATAACAGAATTTGAAATAAAAAAAAATCTGTGGATAGTCCCAGTTTTGATAAACACCAAGTCCCCTGTTAAATGAATATAACCTTGATTGGTTGTTCTTGATAATACTTTTTCTCATTCTCTTGTTGTAAGTATAATTTACAAAAGAAAATTGTAAATATTTGCTTGTTTAATCAGAATGATGGTTTGTTGAAATGTCCTTGGGATTTAAATGTCCTGGCTACACAGATTCCCTATAATTTGATCATGTTTACTGCTGCAGTATCTGTCGACACCAGAGAGTCAGTCACTGAGATGTGATCTGATACGCTATATCTGCGCAGTGTTTCACCCTCCAAATGAGTTAATCTGCTCAGATATCATTCCACGCTGGGCAGTCATTGGCTGGTTACTGACCACATGTACGGTAAGTAGTCATGCTGGGCTGTCATTGGATGGTTACTAACCACATGTACTGTAAGTAGTCACGCTGGGCTGTCATTGGATGGTTACTAACCACATGTACAGTATAAGTAACACTGGGCAGTCATTTGCTAGAAACTGACCACATGTACAGTAAGTAGTCCCTGTAAAAATCTACATATCACTCGTACAAGGGTGTAGGTATTCTCTGTTTTCATAAAACTTATTCGTTATCGTCACCTTACAGATTTTGTTTTACTGAAATTTAAACCTTAATGGTACATGTATGCCTGGTATTTGACTCAGAATTCAAAGAGAAGATTTTGTTTGCAAGTAGTTTAAATCTAATCATTTTACCAATTTCAATAGAATTAATTTGCCCGAAAAAGATTTAATCAACTATTTAAATGTTCTTGCTATTGTTGAGAAATAAGAATCTGAAAGGTTTTCCCTGACAATCTTCTTTATTCCCGCTTTCACTTCCAATCCAAAATCCAACCACAAACATTTCTCTCACCAAGATTGATACATATATACCAAACGAAATAGAAAGGAATAGCCGGTATCAAGTGTCTGGAAGATTAATATAATCATATGGTTATCTCCCTTGGACCAGACGATAATCCAATGACCAGTATACATGTACATAACACTATTAAGTTAATCTTTTACAGTCCAATGTCGCTGCCACCAATGCCAAGCTAGCCCTGTTTTACGACTGGCTGGTCTTTGATCCAGAGAAAGACAGCATTATGAACATAGGTGAGTTATAACAATTCGAACAGAATCTGTCATATGTAGTCATGGAAATGTGAGTTCTAACAGAATCTGTCATATGTAGTCATGGAAATGTGAGTTCTTTCAGAATCTGTCATGTGTAGTTGTGAAATGTGAGTTCTTACAGAATCTGTCATGTGTAGTTGTGGAAATGTGAGTTCTAACATAATCTGTCATGTGTAGTCATAGAAATGCTTACAAACGTGATTTTATTGTCCTGTTATAAGTTTGAGTCAGAGATTATGTGTTGACCTACTTGGCTTATTGCAGGACATTATATTATATGGTATATTTTCAAAGATGAAAATTAAAATAAACTGCATCTAATGTGGTTCAAAAATGTCCATCTAAAGGCAAGAGAGACTTTGTCAGGGTACATAGTATTCACCTTGTCTGTGTTTCCGTCCGTGTTGACTGGAATGGTCATCAAGCTTTGTATATAGGTACGTCATTGGAAGATGATGCATAGTATCCTATATGAGGTCACTGTGACCTCAATTTGACCTTAAAGCTTGACCTAGTACTCATAAAATGGTTTCTTGAGCACATCTCAGCCACTGTTTTATTAATTGCCATCAAACTTTGTGTATAGATACGTCATGGAAAGGCAGTGTGTCACATCCTAAAACGAGGTCTCTGACCTCAATTTGACTTATGACCTTTGACCTTGACCTCAAGTATTTAATTAAGTGTAATTATGGTTTCTACAGCATATATTAGCCACTGTTTCATGAATAGACTCCAAACTTTCATGAACCTACGCTTCGAGATAAATCTGGTTTAGATATTTCTAAAATTTGTGTTTGCAACTCATAATGCTAAAAATAGGGACATGGATTTTACAAGTTGTTAGCCTTGATGGAAAAGGTTACGTTGTACTGATCGTGTGTTGCTGTTACAGAGCCTGCTATCCTGGTGATGTTCCACTCCATCCGTCCCCACCCTGCCATTACAGCCACCCTGTTAGACTTTCTCTGTCGGGTAAACATCTCACTCCTTACTTTAATAACTTACTCCAATTACTTTTCTTTTTAAAAATACAGATTAAAATAAAGCATCTGTCACAACTTTACAAGTGTGTATTCACTGAAAATCATTAATATTAACAGGAATATCTCTTATTCTTCAGATTTTTATTCATTAGATTATGCAGAAAAGTTATTTAAAGGATGAATGAGTAAATTTGACTGTTTTGTACTTGGTGAATTGCTGATTACTTAAAAATAGAATAAAAATTATATCTTCTTCACAAAATAACATGTAGTCATGTATTAATTTTAATTTCACACAGAAAACATGGTCCAATATGATAATCGATTAAAACAGGTGTTTTTCAAATTGTCATAAAGCTAGATATCAGTATGACCAGTTGATTCTCCTACTTGATAAATGAATTTATTAACCACTTTCAGTATCTAAAATGATGAAAAATTCATTTAGTTTAATTTTTGTTTCCAGATAATGCCACACTTCAGTTTACCATTAAAAGTGCATGTAAAACAGGGGATTTTCACATCACTGAAGACCATTTTAGACAAAAGAGTTTTGCAGTAAGTAATGATGTCTTATTAACAGATCAGGTTGAATACTGTATTATTCTTATATCCATAAAATCACATCACTGTCAAGAAAAACAATCTCCTCTGGAAGAAAAATATTTCATTGGTATCTTCAAATTAATGTTTTGTTGTGAACTGTAGAAAAGTGCTTCTTTTGCAGGTCTTTGTCTCCGTTATTTGACAATCCAAAGCTAGACCGAGACTTACGAGCTTTAATTCGAGAAAACTTTTTGGAGTTCTGTTCACAAGAAGGTTGGTATCTCTCACACAGTTGGTGCATATCTACTTTCAGTGCCTCAAAACACAACTGACTCAGAATGCTTTAGCTGAATAGCTCACACATACTTATAGTGGGATACTGATTTAATGCAAAATCACTCACTTATATTTTATGATAGTTTCCCATCTCTTCAAATCATTAGGAATGCGTTTACTCTGAAAATAAAGCTCTGTATATTGTAAAATGTAAAACTTGTCCTTCTTGAAAGATATGGCATATTCATAATAGAGCTGAAGTTAGCGGCACTGGTGAACAAATTTAACACTCATACTTGTTTTAAAAGGTCAGAAGGCAGAAAATATCGCACGACAAAAAATATTAAGGGTATAGAGTAATGTTTTAGGTTACATGCTTGGTCAAGTTTTAAATTGTTTTCCTTGCTGACTTTAAATACCGGCATATGAAAGTATGTTGGCCAAATATTTGATGGTATATAATTCTTTTAGATTTTCATCTAAATGTAAATATTACAGCATGTTAAATTAAGCTCTTTTTGTCTTCCTGATTGAGAACAAATTTATCATGATGGCAAATATATAAAAAATATATAAAGTTGTATATTGACATACAGCTTATATTACATAGTAAATATTTCTTAGATGAAGAGTGAAATTAACTCTTGGTGAATATGTGTTTTAATGGTAAAGGGTAAATATTTCCCTGGGTGAAAGTTACGCAGTATACGGTAACACCCAATGAACAGATTTACTGTACTGTTTGGTTATTCAGTCAAAGAAGAGCCCCTCAACAACAAGGATGTGATTGAGATTGACAACGGTAACCATGTCGACAATAACCTGTCGGACGACCATGCTGCTTTCAGCGATGAGGACGATGATGTGCCGATAGGTATGCCTACCATTCATCCTGATGGCTGAATATATCCTGATAGCTCCTTATAGCCATACATCCTCATAGCTCCATAATTCTCCATAACTCTATGCATCAGGATACACTTGGGATATTTTGAAATGAATAGAACAAGCCGGTCATATTTAACCATGATAAAAACTTATGAGTTAAAAACCTTCCTTTGGGCCTCACCCTAGATCACTTGGAATTTGCAAAAACAAAATGACTGATGTTAAACAGTTCCAATGTTTGAGTATCTTTACATAAAGTTTTAATTTAAAGAGAAATGAACCCAGAGGTCTTTTATTATTGTGAAGGTTTTAGCTTTTTTCGGATGGTTATAATCTTTGCTATGTTTACAACTGATATATTTCTGAAAAGACATAATTCCCAAATTTTTGAAAATGTGTTTATTTACTTTATCCTGAATCTCATCGATGATAACAATATATAGAGAGAAAAAAATTGCATTGAAGAAACATGACCAAAATACACATAACTATATATTCTATGTAGGTCAATTAAAGACGTCAGAAACCAAGTTCCAGCCGATACAGGACACACGTTACCAACCTGTAGACATCACTGACATCCTCCCACAGCTGGGCGGGGACCTCCAGGAGTTCACCGAGCAGCTACAAGCAGAAAAGTAAGGGCAGATCACTCTCGACTGTACACCCAAAATATCACCAATTGTTCAAATTTTGGTTTTACTGTTGAAATGTTTGAACTTCTGCTGACTATGAAGTGCTGTGTACTCAGTAGTGTACTTTATTGTTGTAGGGACCCAGAAATCCAATGTGAGATCATGGATAGGATTATGCAGACAGTACTAAATGAAGTAAGTTTCTTTAATTTTATCTGCATAAAGAAATGATTCTTGATCATTCTACTACAGTCTGTACTTTTGATTTACCATAGACCAGGCACCAGGATACGTTGATGTTGTTTTGTCCATATGTTGACATGGGTTTAAGAATCAGGAATGTAGCCAAGGAAATCAAAGCCAGCAGGAATTGGTTGTAAATCTTTTCATTTCCAAGTATTTGTTCATTTCCAAGTATTCATTCATTTCCAAGTATTCGTTCAGTTGTGCTTCAAACTACTCATTTACAACTGAATTAATTTGTGTGGGTAACATACATTTGTATCACATGTTACCCTGGTGTAACATATAAACAGATATCACTATTGGAATTACTGAAGTACATGTTAGCCTGGTGTAACATTTAAACAGATATCACTATTGGAATTACTGAAGTATGATTACCAAATGCATCATTGTTATGGCTAAGGATGATTACAATATGTATCAATATTATACTGACTGGAGTATGATTACAGTATGCATCGATATGGTAATGACGGAAGTTTGGATTTTCATTGTGATGACTGAAGTAATGTCATCTACTGTAATTCCCCGATCGGACGTGAGAAGGTATGGGGTTACCTACCCGAACACGAGGGTTTTCTCCGGGTACTCCTGTTTCCTCCCACAATAAGACCCCCTGCTCGCTAACATCAGGGCCAATAAGACTGGTTAATATAGGTTGAAATAACTTGTTTCATAATTGTTGTAAATAGATAAAGTTTTTATTTACAGAGTATATTTATAGAGATGTTTGTATGTGACCAACACTTACACATTTATCTGTTGACAGGACGAGTTTGATCAAGACACACCCACACCCCTGGCCACGTGTCTTTGTGAGATCATTAGCAACCAGTTCAGCACTTCTATATTTCCTCAGGAGACCGATGAAGAGTAAGTTGCTGGCATTTTGAATATTTAAGGAAAGCTCATAGTGTCGACCTCTGAAACCTCCAATGAGGGATATATCCCTCATTCCACATTTCCAGTGATGAAGAAAGTGTGTAAAACGTGACTGAAATGGATTTGCTCAAATTATCTCTCCCTTTTTATGCATCAAAATAACTCCAAAAAGCATTCATTTGATTCAGACTCACCTGTTTTGATCATAACACACACCCTGCAGTAACTAGGAGATCATGTGACCACAGGATGTAGACTTTGATTTGTGTCAGTTTGGACTTGAATGAGGGAGTTTCTAGGGAGATCGGTAGATTTTTGTCAAAATGAGGGAGTCTCCAATGAGGGAGGTTGACAGCTATGAAAGCTGGACCGTAATATTATCTGCCTATTTTGGATAGGTATAGTCAGACAATTACAGATTGGCAATGTTCAGACAATAACTGTATAAAGTAGTTATATTGCAGAGTAATGGGAGAGCGGCAGTATTTGTGCTGTAGTTTTTGGGTCTGTAGTGTTAGAAAATATCATTGTGTAAATTTCACCATTTCACATTAACATGGAAATACCAGTGTATGCAGTAAAGATCAAATAAGGATCAGTAAAACAACACTTTAATAATATCACAAAGCTGTAACATCTTATATAACTTAGAAATACCTGGGTAAGATAGTAGAGCCAGCAGCCTCTTTTTTCGTGTGCTGTGTAGGTGGTTCCAGTACCCCTCACTTGGATACCCAAAGGTATGCAGGGCAGTTGAGATCTAGATATCTTGAAATGTTTTAGTGGGATTAGAGTTTTACTGATCAGAGACCTAATTACTATTTAAGTGTTTATATATTAGTTGAAAAGAAATTGTGACTTTGAAAAGGTCCTCTGACAGGTAATTTCTTGTTCCCAATCTTCAATCAGGATCAAACTTTACTGCATATCCCTGCTGTAAATGGGGACAATTTTGCTGGACCATTATGTTTTCACCCTTTCCATCCCAGAATGAAAGGAAAAATTCCATTACAGGTGCAATAATGTTAATATTGCATAGCTGTGAAGTTAACAACAATTGTTGAGTGAATTTAATGGAGAACAATGTATTAAAAGGCAAAACGACAAAATTTAACGGGGGAAAATATATTTTTTTGTTTACAATATACAAAATATTAAGAAATGGCTTATAAATTGTTATGATAATTGTATATAAATAGAATAACACTTTTGATACACATTACTGACCATTATACACAGTTATTTCCTTATTTAATATCTCTTTTTTGTATTACAGGTCTTTAGAAGATTCAATAGGTTCACCATTATTTGTAATGTTTAGGTAAGTTTTCTACTCCCATGCCTATGTCGGAGATCAAACTGTGTTTAGTCATATTGTATCACGGCTATTCTAGAATTCCTTGTGCCCACTGTACACATATTAGTTATTTTAGACCCAATCACTTGGATGGTATCAATTAAAAGTAACCCCCACCCCTCTCACCCAACTCTTGTTCTCATACCGTATATTCATATGTGAAGTAGCCCTTTGCTCAACCATTTTCTCAGAGAGTATTTCACGATTAATTGTGAACATGGGTCATGCCACATTAAGAATGACCATGCCTGTCCTATATCCAGGTTAAAGGCCCTTACCTGGTAACCCAACCCTTACTTGCTAACCCAACCCTTGCCTGCTAACCCAACCCCAGCCCCAAAGAAACACCATCAACCTTTTCCTTGCTCACTTACCGTACTTTAGGATATTTAGGATGTGGCTATATTTTGGTTTGAATGAGCCAAAGTTAACCTTGCCAAAATTTCCAGATCCCAAAATATTTCGCCACAACATCCAGATATCGGCAGACTGTCTCCCAACTCATTGTATGTCAATTACTGACTTCCATATTTATTTTGTTGCAAAATCATATTCATTTGTCAATTGAATTAAGATACAGTCTTCTTTGGAGTGAATGCCACGTGAAACATTAAGATGTTGTCAATTATACACATTTATTTATTTTGTCTACAGATTTTTATGTACGCTGTCAGAAGAGGATCCCAGCCGTCAACCTGTGTTACAATTACTCGGGGAAATGTACAGCAGACAGCCGCGGATAGGCTACCACCTACTGTACTTTGTTAAAGTTGGGTATGCATCTCCAATAACAAATTGAGTTAAATAAATATAGCCAAAATTTTCTTCATTATACTACATCAAATCTTATGATAGCAATACCCCCCGTTGTCAGGTTTAAAGATGAACATCATCTGGAAACTCTTTTAAAAAATACAAGCTTTTCCATAGTTCTCATTGGCCCATTAGTAGTATTCCATAAATGATTATAATATGAATAAAATTTCAGTAAATAGTAATGGATGTGTCTTAATTTGAAGTGGACCTCATACTTATTGGGAAATATTGAGTAGAGTAATAAGTACTGGCACAAATCATCTGAAATTTAGGAATCCCCCCCCCCCCCCAAAAAAATAAATAAAAAAATAATGAACATCATTCCTCTTAATATCACTAGATAGATTTTAATATGCTTGTTTGGAAATGTTGAGAATAGAATTTCTCTTTACAGGAAAGTAAACGATGAGAAGATGAGCTCCTACAAAGATTTCTGTAAAAGCCTAGACAGCAAGGATCTGGAGTCATGTCTGATGAGTGACCTGAAGGTTTGTAACTGTCTACAAGTACATCACCCCAACGAGTGATACTTGGTTATCATGTTTATCTAACTCGAGTCAGTTAATTCTCAAATTGTATCAAGACACAAAGTTTACCGAGTGTCTTTTACAATTTGAAAATTAACCAATGAGAGTTAGAGATAAACATGATAATCAACCGTCACAAATTTTGGGACTTTTTTCTTCCACAACATTCAGATACTATATCTAGAAAACCATTTGTTTCTCTTGGGAATACATTATTCCTGTTTCCGATCAGGGTTGGTTTGGTTTAGTATTGTTGAATGTCCTATCAACAGCTATGGTCATTTAAGGACTGCCTCCCCTGTGTGCAAGATGCAGGCGTGTAGTGTATGCATGTGTGTTTTGGGAGGCTGCGGTTTGTTTCGATCAGGGAAACAATTGCCATGAAATCGAAGATGATGTCATTAAGTATCGTTACTTCAAATCATAAGTTGAAGATTGACCAATGAAATACCCTCCAGGGTGTTACCCACTAGTGGGTAGCCAATCATGTTTACCAACTCCTACCAGGTGTATCCAATGAGTTGGGAGTGAGGAAATCTAATGGCTGTGGGAGAAAAAGAGGATTATAATTGAAGACTGGTAATTTAATGCCAGCAAAATAAGCTGATAAAAAAATGGTTAATGAACTTTTAAATCATTTTAGAACAGATATATAGCAACTGCAATTGAAACAGATCTAGATATAGCAATGTTTTTGAAGTAAAGTGTATAAAATTTGACTGGCTTAATGTTGAAAACAATCAAAAAAATTGAGAAGACATCCATGAATACCTACTGTTATATTGCATATTGACTCTTGAAACTATTTGCGACATGGAAATTGTTGCTGCTGCTGGATTATGTATTCAGCAATATTCACACAGGCACATTTTCATGTAGATTTAATAGATGTGAAATTCAGTGAAATGTTTTCTTTCTATTGATATTTCATCTTTTTCAAAATTAAAAGTTCAACATTTTTTATACCATTCTCACCAACCTAGGTCTTGATGTGAATGGGATTCTTTGTTTATTAATGTGAATCTTTGTTGTTTCAGCTGGCCCAAGAAGACGATATCCGATTGTTCACGTTTATAATGCCAGATATCTATACCAATGTAAGCAATGTTACTCCTTTACTTTACATCAACCCTATTCCTTTATGATGAAGTTAACATTTTTAAATATATGTCATTTTTAAGATAATTATTTATTCTGAAACTGTAAATATGTAATATGTACAGTTGAAGAAATGACAAAATCCAAATATATTTAGTTGCTAATAATTAATTGTTAGTTAAATATTTTGGAGAGTTCCTCTTTATATCTTAGAAAAAATAGAAATAGGATATTAAAGTATGATAAAGGTATCCTTAAAACCTGTTTTACATTTCAGTTTCCAAGGATAGCTATTGGAAACGCTGAGCTGCTGAATATGATAGTTTCCGCTATTGATGGGACACAGGTAAAACCTGATGATTGAACTAAAGAATCCAACAACTAACATACTGTGGAATTCATGTAAACTTGTGAAATCTGTGAATTAGAATTTAGAACGCTTTATTGGTTTTAAAAAACTCAATTTTCTGGCTTACAACTCAATGAAAATTATGAAAACCTGTAAAATCTGAGAATATATCAGAATTTAGAACTCTCTAATGATTTAAAGAAGTCTTTTTTCTGGTTGTCAACAACTTTCCATATTGTTGATGAAAACTTGTATTTATCAAATACTGTTGACTCCACCATTTCAAAACTGAAAATTGTTATATCTGTTTTATTGACTTACCTGCTTTGCTTCTATTTCTGTATTTCTTTTAGCTTCAAGATCTGATTTGTCAAATTCTCCAGGGACACCTAGTTATGTTCAGGAAGGATTCCTTTTTGTCTGTTTTGAGTAAGTAGTACACTAAAAGGAGACTGAGATTGAAATGAAGGGTACAGGGAAGGAGTAAACACTTAGTCCAGAGAGAAAGATATCAAGTGGTATGGTGTGGTTTATAGAATCTTTCCGTACAGTGAGGGCGTGATGATATCTCGAAACCCAAGGGTTGACATTCTTTATTGTCTAACCGAAGGCTTGCTTCAAGCTAAGGGCTAGACATTCAAGAATCTCATCTTGTGGGTTGGGTTTTCTCCGCCATACCCTCAACATGAAGACGATTCTTTTTCTCCAGTCATTTCAGTAATATATTTGAACACGCTGATTAATCAGAATTTGTAATCTGTGCTTTTATCTTGATTTGCAATGGACCTGTCCAGTCGAGAGCTGATTGTGATGTCATAGTTTTTTGTTCCCCTGACGACATTGTATTGTTTCTTTCCACGTGCTATCAGTCAAACCATAGGGTTGACTGAGAAATCATAGTGATACGCTTCAGGGTGAAAATGAAATGTTGAACAGGTAAAACAAGAGAACTCAATGAAAAGTGTGAAAATACTGTATAACAGTAAAGAGCTGGACAACACAGTAAGATCACATAGGGCCGCACCGGGGAAACCTGGCGAACAGATCATGATTAGAAAGATAGGAAAGTTGTAGGTAAGGGTAGAATGGAAAATATATAAAGTTCAAAACTGTTGCAATTAGTTTAATGTCCCTTAAATAGTGGACACAGAAGTGAGAGACAGACAGAGCAACAGATTTTCAAACAGAGACACAAGCTAAGATAAGGGAGGTGATCCAGAGACATTCAAAGAGAAGAACACAGGGAGTGGTAGAAAGGGTAGAAAGTGAGACAGAAATTCAGACATTACAGGTCTACACAATAAGGGGTAGCCCGATAGTCTGAGACTAGTGAAATTTTTTCAGGTGGACTAGTAGTTAAAAAAATGCTAGTCCAGCTCAAATGAATAATAATATTGTTTAATAATATTGGGTTAGGGGAATTCGCACATGGATCAGTAAAAATTGGAAACAACTATCCCAATTGACTAGTGGTATTCAAAATTAATTTCTAGCCCCGCATTGATAGAGAGAACCAAGAAAAGGGTGTGTTTGGGGAGGGAGAGGGGGGGAGTGAGTGAAAAATGCAGAAATATATTAAAATATGTTGAAGCTGATTCCTTGCAGAAGAATCATTTTCAATGTGGTCAATTATACTTGCAGATGCCAGCCTGGACTGGGAGACCTTGGAGCAATACTTTCTGTGGCAGCTCATCACGGCCCATAACATCCCTGTAGAGTACATCATGCCAATACTGCCAAAACTGGACTTCATGTGTACGTCTGTCAGGTTATACTGTAAACGTCTGTGTACTCCATACGATACATGATTGTATGACGTCTGTAGGTCTGTCAGGTTATACTGTAAATGTCTGTACTCCATACGATACATGATTGTATGATGTCTACGTCTGTCAGGTTATACTGTAAACGTCTGTGTACTCCATACGATACATGATTGTATGACGTCTGTACGTCTGTCAGGTTATACTGTAAACGTCTGTACTCCATACGATACATGATTGTATGACGTCTGTACGTCTGTCAGGTTATACTGTAAACGTCTGTGTACTCCATACGATACATGATTGTATGACATCTGTAGGTCTGTCAGGTTATACTGTAAACGTCTGTAATCCATACGATACATGATTGTATGACGTCTGTACATCTGTCAGGTTATACTGTAAACGTCTGTGTAGTCCATACGATACATGATTGTATGACGTCTGTACATCTGTCAGGTTATACTGTAAACGTCTGTAACCCATACGATACATGATTGTATGACGTCTGTACATCTGTCAGGTTATACTGTAAACGTCTGTAACCCATACGATACATGATTGTATGACGTCTGTACATCTGTCAGGTTATACTGTAAACGTCTGTGTACTCCATACGATACATGAATGTATGACGTCTGTACGTCTGTCAGGTTATACTGTAAACGTCCGTGTACTCCATACGATACATGATTGTATGACGTCTGTACATCTGTCAGGTTATACTGTAAACGTCCGTGTACTCCATACGATACATGATTGTATGACGTCTGTACGACTGTCAGGTTATACTGTAAACGTCCGTGTACTCCATACGATACATGATTGTATGACGTCTGTACGACTGTCAGGTTATACTGTAAACATCTGTGTACTCCATACGATACATGATTGTATGACGTCTGTACGTCTGAGGTAACATTAATTATATCCTGGTACTAAATACAATACACATTTTTTTATTTCTGTCAGTCATGACATACTGTAAATATCTTTTACTTAATACATGTTTGTATGTTGTATTATATGATATTCATCCCTGTTCTCCATATAATACAAGTTTGTATGATTTCCATGTGTGTGTCAGATTGTATGATATCCATCCCCACACTCCCTACAATACAAGTTTGTATGATTTCTGTGTGTGTCATCTTATACGATATCCATCCCCACACTCCCTACAAAACAAGTTTATATGATTTCTGTGTGTCATATTATACGATATTCATCCCCACACTCCCTACAAAACAAGTTTGTATGATTTCTGTGTGTCATATTATACGATATTCATCCCCATACTCCATACAGTACAAGTTTGTATGATTTCTGTGTGCGTCATCTTATACAATATCCATCCCCACACTCCCTACAATACAAGTTTGTATGATTTCTGTGTGTCATATTATACGACATTCATCCCCACACTCCATACAGTACAAGTTTGTATGATTTCTGTGTCTGTCATATTATACGATATCCATCCCCACACTCCATACAGTATAAGTTTGTATGATTTCTGTATGTGTGTGAGATTATACGATATTCATCCCCACACTCCATACAATGCAAGTTTGTATGATTTCTGTGTGTGTGTCAGATTATACGATATTCATCACCTTACTCCATACAGTACAAGTTTGTATGATTTCTGTGTGTGTGTCAGATTATCTACAATACAAGTTTGTATGATTTCTGTGTGTCATATTATACGACATTCATCCCCACACTCCATACAGCACAAGTTTGTATGATTTCTGTGTCTGTCATATTATACTATATCCATCCCCACACTCCATACAGTACAAGCTCGTATGATTTCTGTGTGTGTCAGATTGTATGATACTCATCCCCACACTCCATACAGTACACGTTTGTATGATTTCTGTGTGTGTGTGTGATTATACGATATTCATCCCCACACTCCCTACAAAACAAGTTTATATGATTTCTGTGTGTCATATTATACGACATTCATCCCAACACTCCCTACACAATAAGTTTGTATGATTTCTGTGTGTGCCATATTATACGATATCCATCCCCACACTCCATACGTTAAAAGTTTGTATGATTTCTGTGTGTGTTTCAGATTATACGATATTCATCCCCACACTCCTTACAGTACAAGTTTGTATGATTTCTGTGCGTGTGTCAGATTATACGATATTCATCCCCACCCTCCATACAGTACAAGTTTGAATGTTTTCTGTGTCTGTCATATTATACGATATCCATCCCCACACTCCATACGTTAAAAGTTTGTATGATTTCTGTGTGTGTCATCTTATACGATATCCATCCCCACACTCCATACGGTACAAGTTTGTATGATTTCCTTGTGTGTATCAGATTATATGATATTCATCCCCACACTTCATACAGTACAAGTTTGTATGATTTCTGTGCGTGTGTCAGATTATACGATATTCATCACCTTACCCCATACAGTACAAGTTTGTATGATTTATATGTGTCTGTTTGATTATAAGACATTCATTCCCGCACTCCTTACAAAATAAGTTTGTATGATTTCTGTGTTTGTTAGATTATACAATATCCATCCCCACACTCCCTACAAAACAAGTTTATATGATTTCTGTGTGTCATATTATACGACATTCATCCCAACACTCCCTACACAATAAGTTTGTATGATTTCTGTGTGTGCCATATTATACGATATCCATCCCCACGCTCCATACAGTACAAGTTTGTATGATTTCTGTATGTGTGTGAGATTATACTATATTCATCCCCACACTCCATACAGTTCAAGTTTGTATGATTTCTGTGTGTGCCATATTATACGATATCCATCCCCACCCTCCATACAATACAAGTTTGTATGATTTCTGCGTGTGTCATATTATACGATATCCATCCCCATACTCCATACGTTAAAAGTTTGTATGATTTCTGTGTGTGTTTCAGATTATACGATATTCATCCCCATACTCGATACGATACAAGGTTGTATGATTTCTGTGTGTGTGTCAGATTATCTACAATACAAGTTTGTATGATTTCTGCGTGTGTCATATTATTCGATATCCATCCCCACACTCCCTACAAAACAAGTTTATATGATTTCTGTGTGTCATATTATACGATATTCATCCCCACACTCCCTACAAAACAAGTTTATATGATTTCTGTGTGTCATATTATACGATATTCATCCCCACACTCCATACAGTTCAAGTTTGTATGATTTCTGTGTGTGTGTTAGATTATACGATATTCATCCCCACACTCCCTACAAAACAAGTTTGTATGATTTCTGTGTGTCAGATTATATGATATTCCTCCCCACACTCCATACAGTACAAGTTCGTATGATTTCTGTGTGTGTCAGATTGTATGATACTCATCCCCACACTCCATACAGTACACGTTTGTATGATTTCTGTGTGTGTGTCTGATTATACGATATTCATCCCCTTACTCTATACAGTACAAGTTTGTATGATTTCCTTGTGTGTATCAGATTATATGATATTCATCCCCACACTTCATACAGTACAAGTTTGTATGATTTTCAGATTATACGATATTCATCACCTTACCCCATACAGTACAAGTTTGTATGATTTTCAGATTATACGATATTCATCACCTTACTACATACAGTACAAGTTTGTATGATTTATATGTGTCTGTTTGATTATAAGACATTCATTCCCGCACTCCTTACAAAATAAGTTTGTATGATTTCTGTGTGTGCCATATTATACGATATCCATCCCCACCCTCCATACAATACAAGTTTGTATGATTTCTGCGTGTGTCATATTATACGATATCCATCCCCACCCTCCATACAATACAAGTTTGTATGATTTCCGTGTGTGTGTCAGATTATACGATATTCATCCCCATACTCGATACGATACAAGGTTGTATGATTTCTGTGTGTGTGTCAGATTATCTACAATACAAGTTTGTATGATTTCTGTGTGTGTGTCAGATTATACGATATCTATGCCCACACTCCCTACAATGCAAGTTTGTATGATTTGTGTGTGTGTGTGTGATTATACGATATTCATCCCCACACTCCCTACAAAACAAGTTTATATGATTTCTGTGTGTCATATTATACGATATTCATCCCCACACTCCTTACAGTACAAGTTTGTATGATTTCTATATGTGTGTGAGATTATACGATATTCATCCCCACACTCCCTACAAAACAAGTTTATATGATTTCTGTGTGTCATATTATACGTCATTCATCCCCACACTCCATACAGTACAAGTTTGTATGATTTCTATGTGTGTGTCAGATTATACGATATTCATCCCCATACTCGATACGATACAAGTTTGTATGATTTCTGTGTGTGTGTCATATTATACGATATCCATCCCCACACTCCATACAGTACAAGTTTGTATGATTTCTGTGTGTCAGATTATATGATATTCATCCCCACACTCCATACAGTACAAGTTTGTATGATTTCTCTGTGTGTGTGTCAGATTATATGATATTCATCCCCATACTCCATACAATACAAGTTTGTATGATTTCTGTGTGTGTGTGAGATTATACGATATTCATCCCCACACTCCTTACAGTACAAGTTTGTATGATTTCTGTGTGTGTGTCAGATTATACAATATTCATCCCCATACTCCATACAGTACAAGTTTGTATGATTTCTACACATCTGTCAGGTCATACTGTATACCTTCTGGTGCTCCATATGATGTAGGTATGATGTCTATAAATAAGTCTGTCAAGTTATACTGTATACATCCACGTTCTCTATATGGTAAGCATTTGTACGATGTCCATACAATGTATGTTGTTCTATCGGGAGTACTGATACCATTTTTGTGTCGCCTATGACGGATGTTGGAAAGACACATAGGCGTTGCTTTTCCGACAGTGACGGCAGCGTCAACAATGTTAAGGTTTTGCGTTTAGCTCTGTTTTTGACAAAGCTACACCAACAAAACCTCGATCAAAGATGAAGCATGGGTAGTGGAGTCTACTGCGCTAAAAACATTTCATTGATTTCTGCATTTTTTTGGTAAAAACCTCAAATTTCTGGGCTTAGAAAGAAACTCAACGTTAAGGTTTTGCGTTTAGCTCTTACATATTAGGCTGTTTCTGACAAAGTATAAATGCTAGAGCAACCAAACTTGGGTCATACATGTATCATGGGATGTATAGCTGAATGCATTACACTCTTTACTATCATTTTAACGATTTCTGTATTTTTGGGCTAAAAACCTCAAATTCCTGGACTTAACTCAACGTTAAGGTTTTGCGTTTAGCCCTTGCATATTAGGCTCTTTCTGACAAAGTATAAGAGCTACACCAACCAAACCCCTCAATCATACATGTATCATGGGAAGTAGAGCCTACTACTCTAAAAACATTTCATGGATTTCTGCACTTTTTCGGATAAAAACCTGAAATTTCTGGACTTTAAAAAAAATCAATGTTATGATTTTGCGTTTAGGTCCGTTTCCTTATGTACTATGTCAAATGCTTATTATATTGACAAAGCGGGACAGGCGACACATATAATTACGCATAATTCTTGTGTGATTACAGGTCATGCAGAAGCCATGTCCAGTGTGCTGGTTCTGTTGAAGATGGAAGGGTAAGTAGGAGTCTTGTACAACAAAACATTAATCAGAGTTTTAATCCTGACAAAAAGTTCTCCAGCTGAATAAGACCAAACTGTTGCTTCAAAGAAATTTATTTCCTTAAAATATGCATCCAGAATACAAGATAACTAGTTAACGAGCCGTCCCTGATTATTCCACCTGCCAATCTTTATTTAACTCATTCACCCCTACATTTACAAACTGAACTTGCCCAGTCTTTGATTTGGTAAGGTTCAAATGTGACTTTAGGGGTGAATGGGTTAAACAAGATACATATGAAAGGAATCTATTTTGATTGTACTTTATCTGTTTCCTCTACTTTGACTACCATTCTGTTTCTATGAAAAGATAGACAGAACATCAGCTCTCTTGTTGAAAAGAAATAAGATCACAAGTTTACCGCTTGTGTAGATAAAAGATTTTGTGGACAATGGTAGGCTTGAAAATGAATACCGCTCTTCTTACCCAAAAAGAATAGGCAGAAATAAAAATCCTTGGCTTTTGAATTTGACATCGGGTGATGCCTTTTATGAATTACAGACCATCAGCAGACCTACTGCGGCCAGTCCTTTGCCGCGACTGTAAAAAGCATGACTTTTTCACAGTATCTATCCTCAAGTACTGGGCCCAAGAGTTTGAGGACAAGTTGGCCGATCTTATCTTGTCACAGGTGAACAAGCTAAACAGCACACCTAAAAAGAGACAAAGGTAAGTGCTCTTTACTCTAATTAACCAGTAAAACTTCATGTTCAGGAGTAAGCTTGTCACTATTGTCAAACAGCTGTTGTAGGTGAATGACAAATCTGGAAATCGCTTTTCCTGCATTTGATAGAATTATGGAATAAGTAACATCATCATTTAACCTACTATCGAAGGACAAGGCTCCTTCAGCTTACTATATGCAAAATACAGTATTCTTCATCAATTCTATATATAGTATATATAAATTCTTACAGATTAAAGCTTACAAAAATAAGAAAAAAACTTGCATGGGACATTTACTACAGCATTTAAATCTTTGATAGATATTTAAGTGTCTATTCTTTTTTAAAAAGTAAATGTAATTTTATTTTTTTTCGATTCAGGACTGGGTCAACAGCATCTTCTAAGAAAGAGAATGCCAGTGTAGAACAAGTACTGTCACATCTTGACCACATGCGACAGGTGTGTCGTAACATATCATGTAAGTCTACCCTCACATCTCGAACACATACGACATGTGTGTCGTAACATATCATGTAAGTCTACCCTCACATCTCAACCACATACGACATGTGTGTCGTAACATATCATGTAAGTCTACCCTCACATCTCGACCACATACGACATGTGTGTCGTAACATATCATGTAAGTCTACCCTCACATCTCAACCACATACGACATGTGTGTCGTAACATATCATGTAAGTCTACCCTCACATCTCGACCACATACGACATGTGTGTCGTAACATATCATGTAAGTCTACCCTCACATCTCGACCACATACGACATGTGTGTCGTAACATATCATGTAAGTCTACCCTCACATCTCGACCACATACGACATGTGTGTCGTAACATATCATGTAAGTCTACCCTCACATCTCGACCACATACGACATGTGTGTCGTAACATATCATGTAAGTCTACCCTCACATCTCGACCACATACGACATGTGTGTCGTAACATATCATGTAAGTCTACCCTCACATCTCGACCACATACGACATGTGTGTCGTAACATATCATGTAAGTCTACCCTCACATCTCGACCACATACGACATGTGTGTCGTAACATATCATGTAAGTCTACCCTCACATCTCGACCACATACGACATGTGTGTCGTAACATATCATGTAAGTCTACCCTCACATCTCGACCACATACGACATGTGTGTCGTAACATATCATGTAAGTCTACCCTCACATCTCGACCACATACGACATGTGTGTCGTAACATATCATGTAAGTCTACCCTCACATCTCGACCACATACGACATGTGTGTCGTAACATATCATGTAAGTCTACCCTCACATCTCGACCACATACGACATGTGTGTCGTAACATATCATGTAAGTCTACCCTCACATCTCGACCACATACGACATGTGTGTCGTAACATATCATGTAAGTCTACCCTCACATCTCGACCACATACACCATGTATATCGTAACATATCATGTAAGTCTACCCTCACATCTCAACCACATACGACATGTGTGTCGTAACATATCATGTAAGTCTACCCTCACATCTTGACCACATACACCATGTGTGTCGTAACATATCATGCAAGTCTACCCTCACATCTCGACCACATACACCATGTATATCGCAACATATCATGTAAGTCTACCCTCACATCTCGACCACATACAACATGTATGTCGTAACATATGTAAGTCTACTCTTTCTTTTGGGTTTGTGGAGTGTTTTGTACTGAAATTTGGGTTTCACGTGACTCACTGTAGATAGTGTTACAGTTCAATTTTGTTATCAAATTTAAACTTTGTCAGGATATGGGGGACTGTAAATTGCCCAAAGTACTCAGCCATATTAAAACAAATGTGACCTGAAACAAAAAAGGGTCTTCAAATCGTGTTAGTGTGCAATTACAGTTCGAATACATACAAGTGTTTTTAACACAATTTTTTGGAAAGTGACTCATAGAAAATTTGTTCCACAATATATCATGTACCCTCTCTTAATTCATTTTCTTAGTGTGTAATTTGTATGTTCTTAGTGTGTAATTTGTATGTTCTTAGTGTGTAAGATTGTATGTTCTTAGCGTTTAATTTGTATGTTCTTGGTGTGTAAGATTGTATGTTCTTGGTGTATAAGATTGTATGTTCTTAGTGTGTAATTTGTATGTTCTTAGTGTGTAATTCGTATGAATTTGAGGGTTTATTCATTTCTTGATTCTATCCTTTGTTTCAGTTTTGAACAATGAAAACATTCAGCAAGCTTTACAGCAAATACAGCAGTCTGCCAGTGAATCTCTCAAGACAAGGTGAGTTACCGTCAGATCTGAGGTAATGTGAAAATCTTTTTAATGCTACATGGTAGGTCAAATAAGGCTACATGTTCAGTCCAGTCCTCTGTCTTTATAATTCAAAGAATGCCTGATTGTGTTTTATTCAAACTCTGAGGTGGATGTGTACCATTTAACCAATAGCTTTCTAAAATCAGGTATGTTAGTCATCCGTAAACGAAGTTAATCGCTCATTACCCACAGCTGTATATCAAGTATGGGGTCACCTGCCCGCCATGTGGCTTTTCTCCAGCTTCCTCCCTCATCAAGACCCCCTGCATGCTTCCATCCAGAACAACAAGTGTGATTAATGTAAAAGTTGACAGACCTTGCTTCATAATTATTGCAAAATTATCAGTTTGATTTAATTAAAAACAATCTGTCAACCAGGATAGAAGTTTGAACTAGCTTGTGATCTCAATATGTACAAACAGCTAATATATTTGTATGACGAGTAAATGTTTGATTGCCTCTAGGTATGGCGACCTCTTGGCCCTGGCAGAGGACATAGAGGATGTGAGAACAACACGAGTGCTGAGAGGACTGCCTGTTAGAAAAGCTGCAAGTGCTAGTGCGGCCATGGGAATAGATAATCGACTTTGTCGTATCAACAAATCAAAGAAACAACCTCAGGACTATAGTGATAGTGCTACAGAAAGCAGTGAGGTGAGTTAGGGAGACAGAGGTAGTGTTACATTGGTAAGTTAGGGAGACAGAGGTAGGGTTACATTGGTAAGTCAGGGGGACGGGGGTAGGTTACATTGGTAAGTCAGGGACATAGTATTACAATGGTACGTCAGGGAGTTAGTATTCCAGTGGTAAGTCAGGGAGATAGTGTTTCATAGGTAAGTCAGGGAGACAGAGGTAGTGTACATTGGTAAGTCAGGGAAAAATAGGTAGTGTTACATTGGTAACCAGGGAGATAGTGTTTCATAGGTAAGTCAGGGAGACAGAGGTAGTGTACATTGGTAAGTCAGGGAAAAATAGGTAGTGTTACATTGGTAAGTGAGGAAGACAGAGGGAGTGTTACATTGGTAAGTAAGGAAGACAGAGGTAGTGTTACATTTGTAAGTCAGGGAGATAGTGTTTCATAGGTAAGTCAGGGAGACAGAGGTAGGTTTCATTGGTAAGTCAGGGAGGTAGTGTTACAGTGGTATGTCAGGGAGTTAGTACTACAGTGGTATGTCAGGGACATAGTATTACAATGGTACGTCAGGGAGTTAGAATTACAGTGGTATGTCAGGGAGTTAGTACTACAGTGGTATGTCAGGGACATAGTATTACAGTGGTACGTCTGGGAGTTAGTATTACAGTGGTATGTCAGGGAGTTAGTACTACAGTGGTATGTCAGGGAGTTAGTACTACAGTGGTATGTCAGGGACATAGTACTACAGTGGTACGTCAGGGACATAGTGTTATAGTGGTATGTCAGGGACATAGTATTACAATGGTACGTCAGGGAGTTAGTATTAGAGTGGTATGTCAGGGAGATAATGTTACAGTGGTATGTCAGGGAGTTAGTACTACAGTGGTATGTCAGGGACATAGTACTACAGTGGTACGTCAGGGAGTTAGTATTAGAGTGGTATGTCAGGGAGATAGTGTTAGTGTTACATTGGTAAGTGAGGAAGACAGAGGTAGTGTTACATTGGTCAGTCAGGGAGATAGTGTTACATTGGTAGCCAGGGAGATAGTGTTTCATAGGTAAGTCAGGGAGACAGAGGTAGTGTTACTTTGGTAAGTTAGGGAGACAGAGGGAGTGTTACATTGGTAAGTAAGGGAGACAGAGGTAGTGTAACATTGGTAAGTCAGGGAGACAGAGGTAGGTTTCATTGGTAAGTCAGGGCGATAGTGTTACATTGGTAAGTAAGGGAGACAGAGGTAGTGTTGCATTGGTAAGTTAGGGAGACAGAGGGAGTGTTACATTGGTAAGTAAGGGAGACAGAGGTAGTGTAACATTGGTAAGTCAGGGAGATAGTGTTATATTGGTAAGTCAGGGAGACAGAGGTAGTGTTACATTTGTAAGTCAGGGAGATAGTGTTACAGTGGTACGGCAGGGAGTTAGTATTACAGTGGTATGTCAGGGAGATAGTATTACAGTGGTACGTCAGAGAGTTAGTATTACAGTGGTACGTCAGGGAGATAATGTTACAGTGGTATGTCAGGGAGATAGTATTACAGTGGTACGTCAGGGACATAGTATTACAGTGGTACGTCAGGGACATAGTATTACAGTGGTACGTCAGGGACATAGTGTTATAGTGGTATGTCAGGGACATAGTGTTACAGTGGTATGTCAGGGAGTTAGTACTACAGTGGTATGTCAGGGAGATAATGTTACAGTGGTATGTCAGGGCGATAGTATTACAGTGGTACGTCAGGGACATAGTATTACAGTGGTACGTCAGGGACATAGTATTACAGTGGTACGTCAGGGACATAGTGTTATAGTGGTATGTCAGGGAGATAGTGTTACAGTGGTATGTCAGGGACATAGTATTACAGTGGTTCATCAGGGAGATAGTATTACAGTGGTACATCAGGGAGATAGTATTACAGTGGTACGTCAGGGACATAGTATTACAGTGGTACGTCAGGGACATAGTGTTATAGTGGTATGTCAGGGACATAGTGTTACAGTGGTATGTCAGGGAGATAGTGTTACAGTGGTATGTCAGGGAGATAGTACTACAGTGGTACGTCAGGGAGATAGTACTACAGTGGTACGTCAGGGAGATAATGTTACAGTGGTATGTCAGGGAGATAGTACTACAGTGGTACATCAGGGAGATAATATTACAGTGGTATGTCAGGGAGATAGTATTACAGTTACTGTACAGTTGTAAATCAGGGAAATAGACAGTAAGAGAGGAAAGCGAAAGTGGTTTGTTATTTATACATTAATTTATTTTTTAATTGGTATCTCTTCTCTGCTGTAGGATGAGGAAATTAAACCAAGAGCAAAGAAAAGGAAGAAAGCCATTCCTGTGGGCGAGGACAGTGAGTAGTGGGCAGGAAGCCTGAACTGTGATATCAGTGCCTCGGTTACAAAGATCCGACAATTTTCTGAATTTTTTTGGAAAGAACCCCTGCCACTAGATCTCAAGACTAGGGACGGTGTGGTATCTTTGTGGAACATATTCCTAATATTTCAGTGACTGGAGCTTGTATCTCTATCAATTCTCGGCATGGTCATTTTACTGGCCATTCAAGAAGTATTGAGGCTAGGCATCATACAGTGACCAAGTATTGCAGATAGAGATGATTCAGTCACTGGCATCCTTGTCTTGGCAGTATCAGGGCTAGGCATCCTGCTATGACTTTCACAGTATATAGGCAATGAATGGTCCAATGAATTGCAGATTCTTAAAGCAAGGAAAAGTCCCATGAATTGCACAGACTTTAAGCTACGGATGGTCCTGTGGCGTCATTCGTGTCTCTATGTCAAGGCTAGGCATGGTCCAGTGACTGATGTCTTGGTCACGGTATCAAGACTTGGATGGTCCAACAACTGGGATGTCATTCGTGTCTCAATTTTAAGGCTCGGATGGTCCAATAAAATTTGACATCTTTAGTGTCTCAATATCAAGGCTCGGATGGTACATCAACTGTAACATCATTCGTGTCTCAATATCAAGGCTTGGATGGTCCATCTACTGTGATGTCATTCGTGTCTCAATATCAAGGCTGGGATTGTTCATCAACTGTGACATCATTTGTGTCTCAATATCCAGGATAACGATGGTATGGTGACTGCTCTCTGTGTCTCGGTATAAAAGATAAGTCCAGTGGCTGTGTGATCCTTATCTCAATATTAGACCTAGGGATGGTTGTTACAATATTAGGTGATGTGTGCGACTTAATTAAATAAAATGTTATAGCCTGTTTTTAACTTTTAAAGTGACAGTGTCACTTAACTCAATGTGAAATGAAGCAGTTTCATGCTGGATTTCAATGGTACATCTGAAATTTCACACAATTATTCCAATAAAAGGAAAAATTCTGGAGATTAAAAACTCCATACAGTTTTTCAAAGAATTCACAAAAAAAGTCATCGACTATGAACAGGACCGACAGTTACATTGGGTATGTGTGACCCTTGAACTTTGACCCTGAATATGTATGTCCTGTCACAGTAGCTGTATGTGTGACCCTGGAACTTTGACCTTGGATCAAATCTTCAGTAACTGTAAACCCACATGTGTTGACACTGGAGTTTTGACCTTGGATGAAAATATTGGTGACCGTAGCTGTATGTGTGACCCTGGAACTTAGACGATGGATGAAACTATCAGTAACAGTGATCAGATGTGTGTGCGACCCCTGAACTTTGACCTTGGATGGGGATATTAACACTGGTAATTTGTGTTACTATGGAACTTTAACTTGAATTAAGACATGTGCCCATTGTCATGTGTTTACTTGGAACTTTGATCTATGAATTGTTGCCCTATATAAATATATATGGGGTTGTCTATTGACCAAAAATATCTGTTTAGATCTACACAGTGGTGTACAACTGTATGTTTCTGTTACTTTGTAAACACACCTGGACAACAGCGGGACAAATTGAACATGTTACACAGAGGCAGCATCTCGTGCATTTTCAACATATTCAATATTTCAATATTTTCATAATATTATATATACATTTAGGTATGTATAAGTCTAGGCTCAAAGGGCCAATTAATAGTATGCCAATATGTATTTGTCTGTCTGTCTGTCATCATTTTCTTTAAGAATAATCAAACGTAGTACAAAAGATTCAGAAGAAGCATTATATTTTGAGGTTCACTCTGATATGGCCACGCCCTCTGTCTCATGAGATATTGACGTCTTTTCCAAGAGTAATTTCAAGATACTGTAAAAGCATAATATTTCGTTGGGAAATTAATTTCGTTTTTCGTTTATAAAAACCGCGAAATATAATCCCAACAAACTTTTTAAACACACAAAATATACCCTTAACGAAAATATGAAATAAAGTACTAAATTTAATCACAAATCCATATTGTATTTACATTAAGACACAAGTCATGATTAATGGTGTAACTATCGTTACAGGCACAGAGGTAAACACTTAAAACAACAGCGTGTCAATCAAGCGTTATATTTGTAACACAGTTACATCGCTCTTTGTATGTAAAATATTGAGCATGATGGATTTGACCATTACCCATCGAGTGAGTAAATCTTGCCCGGTCTTATATCACCTGTACTATATATTTACCTGCACTGTGTCGTCACGCTTGTCAATTTAAACTTCTTATTTACCAGAAAAAAAAGTACAGGGTTTTAAATTATTGAGATTCCACGAAATATAATTCCAACAAATTTGTCCCCATACAAAAACAACGAAATTTAACCCTAACGAAAATATATGCTTTTACAGTAGAACGCAACAAAGCATTAGAGTTCCTGCTCCTGGTCATAATCTGTCGTTGTTTTTAGAGTTAGAATTTTCACTAAAACATCATTTTATTTTGAATTGATGTTGTTACATTTAGCTTATAAGGTGAAAGCTCTACAGAACCATTTGACCCTTGCATTGTCTGTCTAAGAGTACAATGCTGTGATGATACAAAGAAAAGATTCTTATTTAACATATAGAAACAAAGATCACTATTACCCAACATTAACAACTTTGATTGTCTCTGGATCCAGAAGCTTTTCAGGCTATTTTTAAGTGTTTTGAATTTTGAAATAACATGTCGAATCTCTTTTAATGAAAAAGTTCTGTTTGCATTGATCATGAATAACCATTAGTAATAAAAACAAAAAGTGAGATTAGTTTTGCTTTCCGCTTTTACTGCTTTATTGAATTTTAGTTACCAGGTAAAAAGAAAACTACGGTAAATGATTTAGTACAAAACTAAAATGTATTGTGATGTGACAAGGTAAAGTTGCTGTATATGAAATCCCAGATTCTCGATATTTCAGGTACTAGATATGGGATTTTGTACAAATGTTAAGTGCTGTTTAAATTACTTTGATATCTAGAGTAACAATTGTAGAACACAAGTATCTGTCAGCCAGGTGTTTGACAGTTGTTTGACAGTTGTTTGACAGTTGTTTGACAGGTGTTTGACAGGTGTTTGACAGGTGTTTGACAGGTGTTTGACAGTTGTTTGACAGGTGTTTGACAGGTGTTCGACAGTTGTTTGTACACTCGTAGATTGTTTACTCTGTGTAAGTTGTGTATGTGTGTGTTGAAGCTGTGTACATGCATACAGTCATGTACACTTGAAAGCAAATGTTGTCTACACGTGTTTAAAAAGCAAGGAAGAATGTTGAATTCTGATACATGTGAATAGGTGGTAGGTAAAGAACAATTAGTTTTTACATTGTTTACAGATCAAAATAATAAATCATGAATCATTTCATTTTGATGAACAAACAGAAGTCCTTATGGCCATGCTTTACTTATTTGATTTGGAAAGATGTCGGTCCCTGTTGTCGCACATCATGTGACATCAGTAATCACACATCACTTATTTGATGTTGACATAGGTCACTTGTGGTCGCACATCACTTATTTGATGTTGACATATGATAGGTCACTTGTGGTCACACATCACTTATTTGATGTTGACATAGGTCACTTGTGGTCGCACATCACTTATTTGATGTTGACATAGGTCACTTGTGGTCTCACATCACTTATTTGATGTTGACATAGGTCACATGTGGTCACCCATCACTTATTTGATGTTGACATATGATAGGTCACTTGTAGTCGCACATCACTTATTTGATGTTGACATAGGTCACATGTGGTCACCCATCACTTATTTGATGTTGACATATGATAGGTCACTTGTAGTCGCACATCACTTATTTGATGTTGACATAGGTGACATGTGGTCACACATCACTTATTTGATGTTGACATCTGATAGGTCACATGTGGTCGCACATCACTTATTTGATGTTGACATAGGTCACATGTGGTCACACATCAATAATTTGATGTTGAAATGCACAATTTACTTAATGTTGACATATGTCAGTTGATGTCACACATGACTTGTTTGATGTTGACATACGTCGTATGTAATGGTCACATTACTTACTTGATGTTGACATACGTCGTATGTAATGGTCACATTACTTACTTGATGTTGACATACGTCGTATGTAATGGTCACATTACTTACTGGATGTTGACATACATCGTATGTAATGATCACACATTACTTACTTGATGTTGACATACGTTGTATGTAATGGTCACACATTACTTACTTGATGTTGACATACATCAGTTGTTGTCACACATGACTTGTTTGATGTGGACAGGTGTCGGTTGTCACACATCATTAATTTGATGACACACATGAGTTGTCATCATTTAAGTTATTTGATGTTGACTTGCGTCAGTTTTCATCACACATCACTTTTTTGATGTTGACATAGGTCACTTGTGGTCACACATCACTTATTGGATGTTGATATAGGTCTCGTTGTCAGCCATCGCTATTTTGATGTAGACAGACGACAGTTCTCGTTGTCAGCCATCACTTATTTGATGTAGACAGACGTCAGTTCTCGTTGTTGGCCATCACTTTTTTATGTGGACAGATGTTAGTTCTTGTTGTCAGCCATCACTAGTTTGATGTAGACAGATGTCAGTTCATGTTGTCAGCCATCACTAGTTTGATGTAGACAGACGTTAGTTCACGTTGTCAGTCATCACTAGTTTGATGTAGACAGATGTCAGTTCATGTTGTCGGCCATCACTAGTTTGATGTAGACAGACGTCAGTTCATGTTGTCGGCCATCACTAGTTTGATGTAGACAGACGTCAGTTCACGTTGTCAGCCATCACTAGTTTGATGTAGACAGACGTTAGTTCACGTTGTCGGCCATCACTAGTTTGATGTGGACAGACCTTAGTTCACGTTGTCAGCCATCATTTGTTACTTCATGATCTTTACATGCAATAAATTGTATCATTATACCATTGTAAATGTAACACTGTTTTACACTTGTTTGTTCCTACAACTATTTTTACCTTAGACTCGAAACTGTTTTGCTAATGACTCATTTCTTTAATCGGTGTAAATACACTTGTGAAAACATTGACATATTATACAAACAGTAGTCCCCCTTTATACCGTTACCTTTTGTCCCGTGCCAATTTTGGTAGTATAACGGGGCTAGCGATACAATGGGGTTTCAGTAGGACAGCCAAAATGTACATACATCTGTAACAAACACTGCATATACATACACATTTTTTTTTTTAAATGAATGCAAACATATATTATATATCATTTGCAGCTTTTAAAGCATGATAAGTGGATAAAAACAATGTACTATTTACCGACTTGTAACCCAATCTGGGATGCAGAGTATGGACACATTTGGGTTTCGCATGTTTTGATCAGGGGCGTCTCATACCTGACTGGACTGTTTTATTGGAACCAGTTTATCTCTCAGTAAAGAATGAAGTGTAGTAGGGGCGATAACTCTGTTATCGTTCCTTGGAACGAAATGATAACACAGCTTAATGCAGCTAATTTGACGCATATAACAGCGATTTGAGTACGAAAAAAACGGCTTCATAACATTTGCTGAATCTTTCCATGTTTGTAGATCTCAGTGCGATATACCCCCTTGTATATCTGTTATATCTAGGAAAAAACTAGTTATGGAGTTATTTTGGGTAAAACACGCCAAAATCTGCATTTTGACCATTAGTTTCTGTATAATTCACCCTGGAGAATTAAAACTTAAAGCTGACGAACTGAAACTCCGAACATAAGTAGTCCAAGTTATTCTGAAGAAACGGTAGATTTGGTTTTTCGATATCTTTCACAGAACTGCCCCAAAGAGGGTTTTGAACATGGGGTGTATTTCTGGGGTTTCGTGGAATTTTCCAGAAGATTCCATTTCCCGGTAGTCAAGCACCAATTTGGGTACTCCCTCTAGGCTAGAATTGAGATAAGAGCTTGTTGCGCATGCGTGAAATGTTCTAGCCGCTTATCAGGTTCAACTTGTAGCAGTGAGTTGGATTGATTTTTTACTAGTGCCAGTAATTTTGCCATGGCGCTACTTTCAAGGTCGCAGGGGTGAAATATGTCAAATTTTTCAAACAACTTTTCTTATGAAATACAGAAAAGCCTAGAGATATGAGAATTACCTGGTAGCTTCTTTGGTAAAAGCCAAACAAAGTTTGCGAATAAAAATGACCTTGACCTACTTTAAAGGTCATACAGGTCAAATATCTCAAAACCTTCAAACAACTTCTTCTGAAATACTGAAATGCCTAGTGACATTGTATTTAACTGGTGGCTTCCATGGAATAAGCCGAAGAAAGTTTGCGAATAAAAATTACCTTGACCGACTTTCAAGGTCACAGGAGTCAAATATGTCAAAACTTTCAAACGTCTTCTTCTGAAATACCCAAACACCTTGTGACATCATATTTGGCTGGTGGCTTCCTTGGAATTAGCCAAACAAAGATTGTGAATAAAAATGATGTTGACCGACTTTCAAGGTCACAGGGGTCAAATGTGTTAAAATCTTCTTCAACTTTTTCTCAATAACCAACAGACATAGGGTGATGATATATGGCCAGTAGCATGCTGGGATAAAGAGGTACAAAGTTTGTTCATATGAATGACGTTGACCGACTAAAATATTTTGTAATATCAAATTGATATATTTTCCCTTGATTTAATGTAAAATTGGTTAAGAAGTAGTTAAATGCCAGAAGTGTGTTTTTTTAAGCAACTGTTATTGTATTTTGTTACCAATAAAACTTAAATTTTCTGTAACACTAAACCGTTTTTAGTTAACCTGCCCGAAGGGCAAGTGAGCTTATGTTTTCAAGGTCACAGGGGTCAAATATGTCAAAAACTTCAAACGACTTCTTCTAAAGAACTAAAAGGTATAGAATCTTCATATTTGGCTGATGGATTCCTTGGATGGAGCCCGGCAAAGTTTGAGGATGAAAATGAACTTGACCTTCTTTCAAGGTCACAGGGGTCAGATGTCTCAAACACTTCAAACGACTTCTTCTGAAGAACTGAAAGGTATAGAATCTTTATATTTGG